TTACGCAGCTCATTTACACACTTTTCCTGACGATAGAGTTTGTTGAATCTGACGTGACATGTTCGTACGAACCCTTCGTACGAACCCTTCGTACGAACAAAATTAAGAGAAATTTAGGATAAGAATACGAACATGTTCTTGCATGAGGCCCATTGATTATAATGGGTGCGTATTTGCTGCGGAGGTCAGAGCGGAGTGGAGCGGAGCCGTAACGCATGTAGTGTAAATTAGGGGTTACATGTGTGCGTCATGCAGCGATAATAAATTTACGTCTCAAAAGTCGAATTTAGGCGAGCAGATCTGCACGCCTGTGCACACGTCCTGCTGCTCGCTCGAATCTTGTTGAAACTGCTCTCTCTCTCTCTCAAATCGTCTTGCTCTCAAATAATTATGAGACCAATTTATCTTCGTACCATGTGACATTGGCATCGTGAGAAAACAGGTTAAATTCTTGTGATTTTTCTGTTAATAAAATCAACTGAATTCTGTCCAAATCGTGTGACGAAGTCTTGATCATCATTTAAATAAACGTTAAACCCGGAACATCATCAGATTGTGTTTTAGGTTTTGTTTCTCTGTATTTGAGCAGAGGATGTTCGGATGTCGGAATGTCCGACAGTCCGTGAAGGCAGCAGCAGATGCGGGTCCTGTTTGTTGTCCAGCAGGAGGGCGCTCCGCTCAAACCCCCTCCCTCCTCCTCCTCCTCCTCCTCCTTCAGGGGCTAGAGCCGAAGGTGCTGCCGGAGCAGAGCTTTGGTGCCGGGGTGTCTCAGGGCCCGGGCCCCGCTTCCTGGTGCCGTCAGAGCCGGGGAGGGAGAGGCGACCGWGGAGGAGGAGGTCAGGCTGGAAGACATGGAGGCTGGCTGTTCCTGCGGAGGGAGGGAGCTGTAGGACGGTAGGCTCTGCTTTTCCTCTCTGTTCAGAAACAAAAGCGGTCAGAACTGGACGCTTATCAGCTTCAGCAGCGGGATTTTCAGCTTSTTGTCGTCTTCAAAAACAAAAAAATCTTATTTTTCCTTCAATCCACCCGGATGGCAGCTGATTTCCTTCATTTTCTGCAAAAAATGTCTGGTTCTACAGGTTTATATGGCATGCACTTTATGTGTCCTGCAGATTTCTACCTGTGTTTAAAGGAATGAAAGCTGCAGGTCCTGACAGCTGAAAYCTGATGCAGAATAAATGTAAACACAGCAGGAGCTGAACCCGCTTCTTTAGGACAGAAACACGTTCAGTTTCATGCAAACTTCTTCTCCACAAACAATGCTGSTTTATAATTAAAACACGTTTTTAAAAGGAGCAGAGAACCGCAGTGGCGCCTGCAGAAAATGTTTTCAGGGGGGCCATGGAGGGGGCACTGAAAAACCAGGAGGGGCACCAAAACTAATATCTATAACAGAACATTTTACGATGTGTTTGTAAAAA